AAAACTCACAATTCTCATCCGCATGTGCACATAAGGGACATGGTCGAGTACTCAGTTGCTCCCCTCTAATCATGAACTAAAATCACCAAGCGGTTTCGTAAGGTGTCGTAAAGCCACTCCCTTGCTCAACGTGGCACGCAAAAACTGGGATCATAGTGATAGTAAAGTTGTGGACCCATGAGGTGTGTGCCAAGACCCCTTCGTGATGCCAGTTGTGGTAATGGGTCCACATGAGTAAGCTTATGCAATGCAACAACAGGGAACTATGTGCGGTGTGGATTCGCCACCACACATGCAAGCATACGGATATCGTTCCTCATGCGGATGTGGTAAATGCAAATAAGTTTTGTCGAAATCATGAGTTGGGTCTGCCATATATTTCCCGTGCATTAAAATTTCCGTGCGTGGAAAGTCTACGGCAGTGCTTCCGAAATCTGTCTAATGACGTAACGTTACTTCAAACTAGATTTTTGAATCTGAAAATACAATAAAAATACGAGTTGGTGGGATATCCCACGACGATCAGGGATATGACGCCGAAACCCTGTATTGTGAAAGAGGGTGGGGAAATAGCTCAGGTGGTAGAGCATCGGTTTCTTAACTCAAAGGTCGTGGGTTCGATCCCCGGATTCCCCGGATTATTTCCGCAAGGATTTATCCGTCCCTCCTGGGGAATCCGGATAACAAGAGCCGCGTACGAAGACGAGGACCGAACTTCGAAGAAGATCGGTTGTAGCACGAGGGTATGAAGCGTTGAGCGAAGTAACTGTAAAAACCGAAGATTACACACCGCCCCTCGTCAAGCAGGCGCTTTACAATTGGCGAAGCGGTTCCATAACATGTGGTTCTGGTGTGGGCCCATGTCTTAAAAATGATAACGTTACCGTATAGGTAACAACAATAACGACTAACTACCCGGGCTTAATAACTACTTTTGGGCCTTCGCGGGCGCAATAACTACCCTCAGCGCCTCAGGCGGGCTAAATTTCACTACCCTGGGCAATATGGTTAACTTAATGAGTCCATGAGCAAGTTGCTCATCGTTAATGCCTGGGAAGAATTTTGGAATGCCTGACACTTGTGTTCTTCTGAAAAATGTCGCGAAATGGTGGACTTGAACTCGGGACTTTCAGGTCACGAATCGGGCGCACTACCACTTGAGCTACAGAAAAGAAGGGATATTCGGATGAAGAGGACCGCGGTTCGGTTAAATAACCGGATCGTGAGAACTGTGTAAACACAACCAACACCCCCACCCGAGTGAGCCCAATCAGCCGGATAACGCGAGAAGGCAATATTAAGTTAGGAATAATATCCGGTTAAAATTCTAATAAACCTCCATTGACAGTGTGACAGTGTGACAATGAGCTACAGATGCCTTCCTTGTGAACTTCGTGGAAATCTTTCTTAGTATTTGACTTCTTGAATTTTGTATCGACATACAAAATATATTATTGAAAACCATACGG